AAAAACCCAAGGATTTACTGTATCTGCCCTTTTCTGTTCAGGAACTCAAGCCATGTGATCCTGTCCATCATTAAACCATCTTTCCAAGCAGTCTCCATGTTTCCAGTGTCTGTTTTCCCCACTTGGAGCAGAACCTAGAAGGATGTTTCTTCCAACACAGTTTTGATGAGTTTAGTAGTTTCTTGTTTAGTGTATAGTACACAATGAACATGAATTTGGCAAACTTCAGGAGACAGTGGAGGACAGGGGGGCCTGGTGTCTATGGTCCATAGAGTTGCAAAGACTCAGACACGTCAGTGATTGAACAACAACAAATACAATTTCTTTCAATGTGTCTATTAATGACTGATTTGTCTGAATGCCAAGCTCTAGGTATATTCTAGTGTTTTTATACAGGATTATTATCAACATAATGTACTTGCATTAAAAATATTTAAAATACATTCTGCTTCCATTCAGCAGGGAATAAAACTAATTTTTTAAAAAGCTATGCAACTTGTACTTTTCAAACCAAGAATTTTTCATATTCCTTTTCATCATACATATATAAAATCTATATATATATTTGTGCTCTATAAAATATCTCTGCTAGATAAATGAATTCAGGATTAGGGATTATGGTGTTAGAAGAAATGTTCATCTGGGTTCAGTTCCATGTGGGGAGAAAGACACTGGAAACATGGAAGGGTTTGGAAAGTTGGTTTAATGTTGGACAGGACCATATAGTTTGAGATCCTGGACAATCAAGCACACGGGTGTGTGTGTGAGAGAGCGATTTATACCCTCTCTTGGGCCCCACCTTGGAGCTTCCTGTTCCTGTGTAAGAAATGTATTCTGATTGGTTGTCAGACTCCCATGGGGCCATGCAGGGCTAACTTTGTAGTTTATCTTGAGTCCCGGGCTTGGTTGAATCTTGCTGGGTGATGTAATGAAGGGACTTTGGGCAATTCCTATTATGGCTTAATGGCTTTGTCCTGGTTTGGATCTTGAGTTAGGGCTAATCCTATCACTCTGGAGCTGAAAGTCTTTTGTAGATAAGATGTCCCAAGTTTTTGTCTTGTAGATAGGTTGACACCAGTCTTTATGGGGCTATTAACAAAGGTGGGGGCTGTTTTCCAAGAGCATGTTTCTCCTTTTCTCATCCAGGGAGGTATAATATGCTGCCTTTTTAATATTTCCTAGAATATTTCATTCTTCTAGGAGAGGGGTGGGTGCTAACTTCCTACAATGGCAATCACATTTTACAGGCTTATACATAAATGAATATATACATGTAGAACTCTCATGATAGAGGTCTTATTGAAACAAGTATAGGTGAAGCATTGACTGACTTACTATAACAACTATGCTGCATTTTTATTTGAATGGTTAATTATAATAATAAGGTAAAAAATTGACCCATTATGGGATAAAAGGAATTCCTTAAATTAAAGAATGCTACCAATGGGTGCAGTTCAAAAGAATAACAAGGGGGATGTAAGGAATTTAGTCTTTAGGCTGAATTTCAGCCACTAAGTGCAATATGGCCTTTTGGTATGAAACTATGCCTTTGTGAAATAACAACCTTGATATGCTTAAGAAATCTACACTGACCTTAAGACATGGTTATTTCGCCAGGCCGGATTGGACTGAAGAGGTTTTTAAGGAGAATTTTAATGGTTTTTAACACTTAATATTGATTTTATCTGTTTTTATTGTTGTGAGCCGCCCTGAGTCCTTTCCAGAGAGAGGGCGGCATGTAAGCTTAATAAATGAATGAATGAACGAACGAACGAACGAACGAATGAATGAATAAATAAATAAATAATGGTTTCTTCTTTTTCACTGACTATATGGCAATAAAAAGGTGATTGTTCAGGTGGCAGCATTTAATTATTTTGTCTGTGATGATATCTATATGTAAAAAAATGTCGCTTTTGTCGATCTCTCAGCAACTCTCAATTTTATTTGTCAGAATAAAGTTGCAGTACAAAAAAACAAGGTTCTTGGTTTGAGTTCTAACAAAGCTAAGATGATTGGGTCAAGTGGTAAAAATATTTCTTAACTATGTAATTGCAAAGTGAAATATTACAATTGTACCTGACAAAATTGATCTGGGAAAAATTGACCCATTATGGGATAAGAAGGAATTCCTTAAATTAAAGAATGCTACCAATGGGTGCAGTTCAAAAAGAATAACAAAGGGGATGTAAGGAATTTAGTCTTTAGGCTGAATTTCAGCCACTAAAATGCAATATGGCCTTTTGGTATGAAACTATGCCTTTGTGAAATAACAACCTTGATATGTTTAAGAAATCTACATTAATCCTGGTCAATTTGCCAACTGGTGAAAATAAACAATAATGTAAAATAGGTGTGAAATTTCCTCGGGGGGGGGGAGGATAAACAAATGATAGCTGTTTTGTTCTGAAAGCAATTTATTTTTGTATTTTAAAAATGAAGTCCAATAGGAAATAAATTATTTTTGCAACTAAATTCTTGAAGAGAAAGTCCTTGCTTCCTGTTTTACCCCAAAAGTGTAATCCTGGAAGACTGGTCTGAGAGATCCTGGTCTGAGAGAGACTGGCCCCAAAGTACCCATTGAAATTCATGGCTGAAAGTCAAGTAATACTTGGTATTCTTAGTGCCAGTCCAGCACCTTAACTATTACCTATTCCAACACATGTAGAAAGCATTAAATTGGGACAACCTGCTTAACAAAATGAGCCCTATAAACGAATCTTGGCTTCTTTATCATTGTTCTAAGTACATTTCCGCAAAAATACCATACATGTCTCCTAAAAAGAATTAAAAAAGAATACATCTTTGTTGAATCATAAATGCATAAAAATCATAAATGCATAATAATGTATATAAAATAGGACTATGTCCACTAGCTCTAGCCTCTCAACATGACCAATGACCACAAGCAGAATGCCAAATACAGGGGCTTCTCTGCATAGATTCCAGTGCACAGAGGCGCAAAGTACATGGTCTCTGTTTTCCAATATTCTTATATAAAAATTAACCAAGCTTATGCATCTTTGGTTCTGGCACTTAGACCCAGATGCAAATCTGTATCCCAACACTGAGGTGACATTTGGATTACAAGTATGATAACAATAGAACTTCACAGTGCTTTACAGCCCATCTAAGCGGTTTACAGAGTCAGCATATTCCACCCAACAATCTGAGTCCTCATTTTACTGACCTCGGAAGGATGGAAAGCTGAGACAACTTTGAGCCTGAGACTCGAACTGCCAAACTGCTGGCAGCCAGCAATCAATAGAAGTAGCCTGCAGTACTGCCTTCTAACCACTGTGCCACCACAGCTCCTTGTCATGGATACAAACTAAAATTTGCAAAATGGAGGGCTGATTTTAAAAATATCTGATGATTTAGAAACAGCATAGTACATCAGAATATCAACATGGGAATGACATGTTGTTTATCCTCTCATAATAAACTGTCCACATGCACAGCTTTTTGATTAAGGCACCAGTCTAGGAAACAAGAGATTGTGAGTTCCAGTCACACCTTACATGTGGAAAACTGGCTGAGTGACTTTGGGTCAGTCACACTCTCTCAGTCCAACTCACCATACATGGTTGTTGTTGTGAGGAAAATAGAAGGGAATATTAGGTATGTTATCTGCCCTCAGTTATTTATAAAAATAAGAAAGGTGGAATAAAAAAAAATCTTTATTCCCCGTCCTTGCCAATAATTCCTAGTCAGCAGCAAGGAGGGCACCAGGCAGGAAACTGCAAATCCTTGAAGGATTATAACATGTGTCTTTTAAATATTAGTCATGAGATAAGCAACAATGAACTCCAATTGCTATGATGCAAACACTATAGGCTGGATTCAAGCCAAAATACAGCATGTTTGCTTGTCTGAATCAACAGTTATACGTTCAATAAACTGTTGTTGGGCAAATTTAGCTTAGCTTATTGTGGGAATTTCATATGTAAAGATATTTGACTGAAAGCCATCAGTGTGAAAATTGCTACATATTGCAAGTAAAGTTTATTTTTATTTAAACCCAACTCTTAGTGACTGCATGGGCAGGATCATGTAGTTTCCGTGGGAAAAATTAAAGGGATAATTTGCTCTTTCAGGAGTTTATATTTTTCTTAACTTCCAAATATAGCTTATAGCCATAGCACTGTAGACTGTTCAAACAAGAGAAGTATACATTGGTCGTGTAAGTTTGTTAAAAGTCTACAATTCTGTTAAATATCAGCCTGTTTAATTATCCATGTACTAGGAGTGCCACATGATAAATTGGGAGTTGGCATTACATTGGGGTAATGCATTAATGTCCAATTTTTTAATGCTGAGTTTGATCAAATATATAGTCTTTGTATTGTCTGCTTGGTTTGCCAAGCATACAGTACACGCCTGTATTCAAAAGACAATCTGCTTCATTAGCTACTATTAAAATGTGCAACCTGCTTTACAAACTATTTAAAACTCAAAGTGGCTCACAAAAATATTCAAAAGTTATACTGAAAGTCCCGCATAGATTCTGAGGGGCGGTTGTTCTATTAATAATGCAAAACCAAGAGTAATAAAAATCAAAGAGAATGTAAGAAATTTATGTTTTCCTAGAAAATAAGGGAGCCTGTCTGTATCTGCAACTGGTTTTGAATTTGTTATTCTCGTCGCTAACAATCATAAGGGAGAACAGGAGAAGGTGGAGGAGATAACTGATTAACAATTATGCATTTTCTGATGTAATCCTTCAAGATCTCTCTTCTACCCAACTATATCTCTATTACCTCTTTCGGAATTCGAACTGACTTCAGAGACGCTTACCCAGTTAAGCCTTCCCAGTCAATAGTGAAGACGGTCAAGATAACGTTTCTTATTAGCCTGACAAAATTCCAACCAACCCAATTTGGAGCAGGCAACCATAGCACTTGGAACTAGCGTAACCCTCTTTTTCCTTTTCCCCGACCCCTCCCCAAACTGTACGGCCCCAGGTGACGAAAGCCTCTTCCCTCCTCGCCCGCGTGCGTCCCCTTAGCTCTGCCCCCAGGACTCCCGCCGGCGGGGCTTTTCACAAGCGACGCTTGCGGACGCTGCGCCAAAACCTGCACCTTCCTAACAGCCCTGGGTGTAATTTGCTTCTCCGGACACCAACCTTCGGCCGCAAGTCCAGAGCCTTTGGGTTGAAGAGCCTGTCTCTGCCAGCGGTAGCTGGCGGTCAAGCTCTCGACGGTGTCCTGCTGCCGCTGAAGATGGAACAGACGCCCCGCGAGAGCCAGCAGGAGCGCGCTCGTTCGCACATGGTGACCACAACCAGCAGCTCCTTTGCGACTACTTTCACGTCCAGATCCAGCACGCTCGCCTACGACAAAGAATTTCTGAAGACGATTCCTGGAGTCCTCATGGTGGTTGAGATAGTAAGTCTAGCACTCCCAAGGGGCGGTCATAAGCAATGCAAATGTACGTTGGGTAGAAGTAAGTCTCACAAACTTGGTTTCTGAAATATAAACATACGCGCCAACAAAAGCCTGTATTCGCACGTTGCCTCAAGCCCCATTTTGCCTTAGGGGCTTTGCGTATGCTGCTCACGTGCTTAGTTTACTGGTCAGTATGGCTTCCAATTCGGAAATCTGGTTATTTGTTTTAACTTGGTTAACACAACTGCTAGGATTTGAGATTTCCACCTTACTCTTCCCATTCTTCACTCAAAGCAAAAGACAAATATGTTCCACAGCCAAGATAGCCAGCAAAAAAGGGCATTTGACTAAAACTCAGGAGGCAGCTTTAAATTTAGGCAGCTTCTCCCTCTTCATCTAAAACCATTCAAATTACGGGTGTGTCCTTTTGGTATTTCCATTTCTTTTCACATATTGTTTTTAAGTTTTTCTACAGCCTCAAAATTCAGAAGGATGTTTTAAACATCTAAGCAATATAATAAGTCAACATAATATAATGATACATTTTCTGAAAACCTAGCCATACTTAAAATTATGAAGGATCTTATTTATTCATTTTGCTTGTGAAATAAGCCAATTTGGTCTAGTAGTTAGTGTGCTGGACTGGGAGCACCTTACTTGTTAGGAAACCAACTGGCTGACTTAGGACAAAGACAATAGTCAACCCCTTCAAAAATGTTGCCAAGAATAGGAAGTTGTTCTTGAAGTCATCAAGACTGACTTGGAGGCAAACCCCCCCCCAACACAATTCACATTGTGAGTACCCTGAATATGTGCAAAACTTTCAGATTGTTTCAGATATGCCAGAACTATTGATGGTGAAACCATTTTATATTGCCAAGCCTTGTGCAAATTATATAATCAAGCAACATGTAATTTATTTCTAAATCTTATAAGAAAATACAATATTTTCCCCCAGAAGAATAGCTCTATTTGTCAATTACACCAGAGACAACAAAGAATATAGCTATGACTAGCAAATTAAGGATTAATAAACTTATTCAAACCCACTCATATAATTTATTTACCTGAAATTTTGTAATAAATAGGTTTCTTATATATTTCTCCTCTGTCCTGCAGAAAAGAAAGATAAGAATTATTGCTTTATGGCCCACTACTGAAAAACTAGAAGAGTTTTCCTGTCTTCCCATAAGATAAGATCTGTAGGCAGCTACTGTTAAATTGTCTCCTTTTCTGAAGTGCTACATCTGATTTCTTAACTCTGCAGTTTACCATGTTTTCCTGAAAATAAGACCAGGTCTTATTTTCTTTTTACCCCTGAAATAAGCACTTGGCCTTATTTTCGGGGAGATCTTATTTTTTCCCCATGTACTGGGAGATGGGGCGGTGGGAGAGGAAAAGTGCCCCTCTTACCAGCAGCTTGGTCCGTGGAATACCTGATCAGTGGGTGACCTGCCGCCGCTCAAAGAATCCCAGCCGCTCTTGCAGCTGATTGAGGCTGCAAAAGCAGCAGTAGGCCCCACACCCCTTGTACCCCCTTCAAGAACAGTCTTACCTCAATCGGCTGCAATGGCCTAAGTGCTTGGTGTGCCCCAGCCTCCACCTGCCCTGCTTGCTGGCCCTGCTGCTGCTGGGACACTTTTGGCTGCTGGCAGCCAAGCAGTTGCCTGTGCTGCTGCTGGCCTCGCAGGGGCTCTTCGCCCTCCGGACAGCGCAGCTTTCAGCTATCCTACTGGGCTGCTCCTGCCTGGTGTGGGGTTAGTTGTCCCAGATCTACCATGATTACCATAGGGGGGCCCGGAGCTGCTACCATCGGAGCTAGGGGGCCCGGAGCTGCAACCATTGGAGCTGGGGAGTCCAATGACGAGCGAAGCTGCAGTGGCGGGACACGTCAGGATAGCGCCAGCCAGCTGTTCATCAGCAGGCCACTCTCCTGGCTGGGTCTGGCTGCGAGTGGAACTGACAGGCAACAAGGTGCGCGGCCAGTGCGAAGAACAGGGCTGCAACAGCGGGACATGTCAGGACGGCCAGCTGCTCGTCAGCAGGCTGCTATCCTGGCTGGGTCTCGCCACAAGCAGCAGTCATCAAGCTGCACGACCGGCGCAAAGAACAGGGAAGTGACGGCGACAGGACATCCAGTTGCAGCAGTGTAGCCAGGCCGACGGCATGGTGCAGAGTCCTGGGAAGCATGGCTGGAAGTGCAGGTACGGCCGCAGGGTCGGACAGCTGACAAGCCGCTGTGTTGCGCTGCCACTGGAAGACCCATTGCCTCCCTGTTCTTTGCGACAATCGTGTACCTCGTTCCCTGCTGCTGCCACTCGAGGCTAGACTCACCCAGGAGAGCAGCCTGCTGACGAGCAGCTGGCTGGTGCTGTCCTGATGTATCCTGTCATCGCCTCCCTGTTCTTCACACCAGCCGCACACCACATTGCTTTCAGGTGCCGCTCACGGCCAGACCCGGCCAGGAGAGCAGCCTGCTGACGAGCAGCTGGCCAGCGCTGTCCTGATTTGTTCTGCCACTGCAGCCTTGCTTGTTGTTGGACTCGCCAGCTCTGATGGTTGCAGCTCCGTGCCCCCCACCACCCCCAGGTATGACGAGCCCTGGATTGGGACTCGACAAAGGGCCCTTGGCTGCGAAGTTGCCTGGTGCTGCGGCAGGCCGGGGCTGGCAAGAGTTTGCAAGAAACACCTCCAGGCGCCCAGAGAGATAGAATGAGAGGCAGCTCCCAATCAGCTCAGCTGCTGCTCGCTATTAAGAGGCCCAGCTGCCATTAGCTGACCTGGGAAGGGAAGGGCTGCCTCCTGTGCTGGCCACATCCACCCCTTCACTAGGGCTTACTTTTGGGGTAGGGCGTATATTAGGCCGACCCCCCTAAAAATCAAGCTAGGACTTATTTTCTGAATAGGTCATATTTTCAGGGAAACAGTAGTTCCATTCTATACGTCTAGTTGACACTCTCTAGTAGTTGGTTTTCTATGCATGCAGGGCAGGCTATATAAACACTTTAGTACACTGGTCATACCTCATTCTGTTAACATACTGACAGTGAAGAGGTAAAATGATGCTAAGGAGTGCAAACTTCAGCCTAGAAAACCACTGCGGTAATGTGCACTGTAGGAGAACAGTTGGGAAGAGAAGGGAATGTGGAGATGTTTGGAGTAATTTATTATGAGAATTACAGTAAAAAGCTGGGGATATGTTATACATTAGCAAAGATTTATGTTATCTACTTACTGGTTTCATACAGTATATTAAAAATAATGGTGGGTCTTCTTAGCCAGAGCTACACTTTTTTTTTTCCAAATTTTTATTGAAAATTATTTTTAAAATACAGGAAAAAAATATAATAATATGGATAGAATTGCAGAGAGTAATATAATACATATAGAGTTTTAAAGTATCAATTTTCGCCTAGAGAAAGTACAAACCCAACTCATCAAAAGAAAGAAAAGTTTATCCAAGAAGAAAGAATTCTCAACTGTCATGCAATGCTCCTATAAATATTTACCCACGTTCACATTAATATTTTCATTCTTCTTAAGATTTCTTTTTTTGCAGCCAAGCATATCATCTGTCCCAGCTCCTATATAACCCCGATTCTTGTCTGTCTCGCAAAAGTTCAGTAAGCTTGTCTGCTTCTGCACAGTCCATGATCTTTGCAATTAACATAAGCCTCCGATGGGATATTTTTGGATTTCCATTCTTGCGCGAACAAGATCCTGGCTGCAATGATGATGTGGAGAGCGAGATACCAATTAGATTTGTTTAAGTTCTCTGGTTTCATGCCTAGTAAAAACGTTTCCGGGTTCAAATCTATTCTACATCCTATGATTTCTAAAATCCATTTTTGAATTCTAGCCCAATATTCCTTTGCTCGGGGACAGGTCCACCAACTATGAAAGCTACACATTTTTGAAAGACTTGGGTCCTCAGTGTCGGGGAATGTGATGCCAAATGAGGCAGTTGCATCAACATGTAAATGGAGCCTGGATTTTATGGCATTTTGTGCTGGGCTGATGGGTTTTTTTGATCCCCTCCCAGCTGTGAAAGTCAATTTAAGGCTTTAACTTTCTATGTTCTTTAAACATAAATGTTTAAATGTTAAAATGAGAGGAAAGAATAACATTTTTTTTATCAGCAGCACTACTGAAATATAGTGCATTCAGAGCAGGCTAAAGAAAGATAAATGGGAATTGCAAGGGGGGGGAAAGAAATTATAAGATGAAACCATGGGACTCCACTTATCCACTCCTAATTTAAATATTTTTCTCCCACAGCCTTAGTATTTGCAGCAGGCAACATAATGAGTAGCGTAATTTAAAACAGTTATAACATTTAAAAGATCAGCAGATAACCATTGCACTGCAGCGTGCTATATTTGTGTTTATAATTTACAAATGTATTTGACTTATTTTTTATTTAAAAATTTTTTTTTTTAATTTTAAAAATGCATTACCACTATAAAAATGCTGCACAATATATATTGGTGACTAAAATTAGCAGCAGTAAAAATTGTCAAGATAAGACTCTCAAAATGGAACCTTACGCTTACTCATGTTTTTGTCTGAAATTTAAATATTGTTATACACTTTCTTATTACATTTCTGCATTAGCTAACAGAAGATACCTGCTTCCCTGGATGGCTTCAGAGTAGAATCCATGATCTTCATAAACATATACAATAATATATATTAGTGATTAAAATTAGCAGCAGTAAAGTGGAATTCAACAATAGGAAGAAAAACTAGCAATAAATTATACTAGGAGTGTATGGATCAAAAATATAGAAATTGTTAAAAAGAAGGCTGAAATAATATCCAACTTTTAGCAAAGATAGGCTGCAAGTGAAATAGCTGTTTAGCCATTCATACAGAGCCCTGAGAAATTGAGGTCAAGTTTTGTCAGTATAAATCAGGGGTGGGGGGACTATGGCCCTTTTATGACTTGTGGACTTTAATGCTGGCTCAGGAATTTTGGAACTTGAAGGGCCCAAGTCAAA